ATTTATTTCATTTACCAATATAGTCTCTAGCTGCATCCATTTATCTATAAGACCTCAAATTTACCATATTTATAGCTAAATAACACTCCATTGTGTAGAAATATTATATATTTTTATCCATTTCTCAATTGATGCACATTTGGGTTGTTTTCAAGATTTAGCTATAACAAATTGTGCTGCCATAAACATGGATGCACGTATAGAGCTGTGGTATGATTATTTCAGTTCTTTTGGAAAAATAACTAAGAGGGAAATAGGTAGCTTGACTTGGACCTCCAATCCTAGCTTTTTGAGGAGTCTCCATACTGATTTCCATAATGTTTGTACCAGCTTGCCTTCCCGCCAGCAGTAGAGAAGGGTTCATTTTCCCCCACAGCCTCTCCAGCATTTGTTATTGGTTGACTTCTTGATGATAACCATTCTTTCTGGCATACGATGATATCTCAGTGTTGTTTTGATTTGCATCTCTTGAATGACCAACTATGTTGAACATTTTTTCTTATATTTATTTGCCATTTGTATTTCTTCACTTGTGAAGTGCATATTCATCTCAGATGCCCATTTCTTCATAGGGCCTTTGAATTTTGGAGGCCTGATTTTTGAAATTCTTTATATGTTTTAGGTTTGTATCCTTTGTCTGATGAACAGTGTGCTATAATTGTCTCTCACTTAGTGGGTTTCTTTTTACTCTGTTGGTGATTTGTTTTGATGTGAAGAAACTTCAAAAAGATGAGATCTCATTTATTGGTTTTTTGAAGTATTTCTTGTACAGTTTGATTTTTTGTTTATGAACTCTTTACCTGCCCCTATGTCCTTAAGGTTTCTACCTACTTTTCTTTCAGAATATTTAGTGTTTCATTTTTTATAGTTAAATCTTTGATCCATTTTCTGTACTTTTCAGTGCAGTGACAGACATGGGTGTATTTAAGCTTTCAGCATGTGGAAATCCAGTATTTCCAGCACCATTTATTAAAGAGGCTATCTTTCTTCCAACAAAAATGTTTGGCCCCTTTGTCAAAGATAAGGTGGCTGAATATGCCTGTAGTTGTGTCTATACCTTCTAATCTCTTCCATTGATCCTCAGGTCTGTTTTTATGCCAGCACCATGCTGATTTTAGCACAGTAGCTTTGTTTCATAGTTTCAAGTCTGTGATTGTGATGCCTCTTGCTTCTCCTCTGTTTTCCAGGGTTGCTTTTGCTATTATAACTCTCTTCTGGTTCCAGATGAATTTTAGCAATGATTTTTTCCCCAAGCTCTGTGAGGTATACTAATAGTATGTTAATTTGGATTGCACTGAATCTGTGTAACAATTTTGTGAGTATGTCCTTTTTCACAATGTTGGTTCTTCTTGTCTAGGAGCAAGGAATGTGTTTCTATATTCTTTTTTTTTTAATTTTTTTTAATTTGTTTGTGTGTGTGTGTGTGTGTGTGTGTGTGTGGCCAGCTCAGCCCACCAGGGGGCGGGGCTGGCTGGCATGTGGTGCTGGGGGATTGAACAGTGGTCCATTTGCTTTACTAAGCTTGTTCTAAGTAGGTGCTTTAGACCACTGAGCCATCTCACCAGCCCTGTTTCTATATTCTTAAGTCTTCTTTGATCTCTTTTTTTCAGAGTAGTGTAATTTGCGCTGTACAATTCTTTTACTTCCTTTGTGAGAATGATTCCTAATTATTTCATTTTTTTAAAAAAAACTGGGGATTGAACTCCGGCCCTTATGCTTGCCAGGCAAACACTTATTCTACTGAGCTATCTCCCTGGCCCCTATTACATTATTTTGAGTGTTATTGTGAAAGCTGTGGTTTCCATAGTTTCTCTCTTGTTTCGTTCGTGTGTCTGTGTAGAAATGTTATTGATTTTTGAGTGTTAACTTTGTATCCTGCTATGCTACTGAATTTATATTTAAATCTACAATTCTCTTAGTGCAGTTTTAGGGTTTTCTATGTACGGTATCATGTCATCTGCAAAGAATGATAATTTCACTTCATCCTATCCAATCTTTATTCCTTTTATTTCTTTACCTTTTCTAATTACTCTGGCTATTGTTTCCAGAACTATAGTGAATAGGGTTGGTGATAGTGGGCATCCTTGTCTTGTTCCTGATTTTTAATTGAAGGCTTTCAATTTTTGTCTTTTAAGTATAATGTTTCTCTCGGTTTGTTGTAGATGGCTTTTAGCCAGTTGTGGCAAAATCCATCTATTCCAATTCTCTGTAGGGTTTTTATCATGAATGAGTGTTGGGCTTTTCAAAAGATTTTCTGCATCTATTGAGATGATCATGTGATTTCTGATTTTGTTGTATGGATGTGGTGTATTATCTTTGTGATTTTATGTTTATTAAATCATCCACACATTCTTGGAATGACTTGGTCATGGTACATAATGTCTTTGATGATTTGCTGCATTTTGTTTGGCCGTGTTTTATTAAGGAGTTTTGCATCTATATTCATTAGGGAGATAAACCTCTAGGTCTATTTTTTGGTTGGATCCTTCTCTGGTTTTGGTATCAGAGTAACAGCTGTCTCCATGAACGAGTTTGGGAAAATTGCTTCCCTTTCAATTTCTTTGAAAATTTTGAGAAGAATTGACATTAGGTCCTCTCTGAATTTCTTGTAGACTTCAGTTATGAGTCCATCATGACCTGGGCATTTCTTTGTTGCAAGGCTTTTTTAAAATATGAATTATGCAAGTACATAATCATGCACATATATGTTCAGGTACTAGTATTAAGTGGTTGTAATTTCCATAATTGTACATGTTTTTTTTTTTTTTCAGAACTGGGGATTGAACTCAGGCCCTTGCACTTGCCAGGGAAGTGCTTATTCCAGTGAGCCATCTCCCTGGCCCCCTGCAAGGCTTTCTTTAAAATCATATTTTCAACTTCATTGAGTGGCATTGGTTTTTCAGAAATTTTGTATCTTCTTGATTCAGCTTTGATAGTTCATATGCATCCAGGCCTCTGATTATTTCTTCTGTACTTTCCATCCTGCAATATTAATGGTTTTGGTAATAAATATTGATAATCTCCTGAATTTCTATATGGTTTGTAGTGATTTCACTGTTTTCACTCCTCATTGTTGAATTTGAATTTTTTCTCTCCTTTGAAATTAGGTTGGCTAGGGCGTATTGATTTTATTTATTCTTTTGAAGAACCAACACTTGGACTCAATGATTCTTTGTATTGTTTTCTTTGTCTCCATTGCATTTATTTCTGCTCTGATCTTTATAACTTCCTAGCTTCTGTGGACTAGGAGTTTGAGATGCAGCATGATTGTTTATTTGGCCTCATTCTGTTTTCCTGATGTGAGAATTTATTTTTTATTTTTTTAAATAAATTTATTTCTTGGGCTGGAGAGATGGCTCAGTGGTCTAAAGCACCTACTTGGAACAAGCTTGGCAAGGCATCAGGGACCGCGGTTCAATCCCCCAGC